TCTCTCTCTCTCTCTCTCTCTCTCTCTCTCTCTCTCTCTCTCTCTCTTATCTGGGACTACCTTCACGCCTGGCTTTTCCTGAGTGCTGATCACCTCACGCTCTCACGCTCGTATAGTAAGCACTTTACTTTAACCCACTGAGCCATCTCCCCATCCCTATTACCAATGTGTTTAGTGACAAAGAGGCATATACTGACTTTCAAAAGTCCTGTTTGTTAAGGACATGAATGCCACATGCCAGCTGTAAAGAGAAGTGGTATGATGTACTTACTTGTGAGGATTGTAAGCAAGAAAAGATACTCGGTATATGAAATTACCCCTGGAGGAGAAAAAAAATAAGAACAAATCAGGAGATGAATTTTAGATGAGAACCACAAAATAATTAATACTGAAACATCACCTCTGTAAAAATAGACATTTTTACTCTACATCTCTTTGATACAGTAGAAACCACTGTATAACAAGAACTGAAATATAGCCTGTGTTTTAGAGAAAGAATCATGCTTCATCAAGTTTATGAGGTCAGGATAGTGAATCTTCTGTGCCAGTTTGACTGGGCCAAGGATTGGACATTATTTTTGGGTGTGTCTAGGAGGATTCTCAGTTGAAATCAGCCTGCGAATAGGTAGATGCAGTATAGCAGACTGATCTCTTACATGTGGGCATCACCTAGTTGGTCCAGCAAGATGCTGAGGAAAGTGGAATTCTCCCTTCTCCCTTTCCTTACCTGCTAGGCATCTCCCTCATCCTCTATCCTGACATTGGAGCTTCCATTCCTGGCTCAATTAAGACTCCTTCTTCCTGAATGAATCTAGCTTGGTCAGGTTGACAAAACACTAGCCAGCACAGATGGGCAAATTGCTTGAGCCCAAGCTGGTGAATAGGCTGTAGGGGTGTGGCTCTAGGCACTGGTTCAGGGACAACTCATGACTTAAGCTGTGCTACTATGAATAGTACTGCATGATTTCTTTTTTCTTTTCTTTTTTTTTTTTTGAGACAGGGTTTCTCCGTGTAGTCTTGGCTGTCCTGGAACTCACTCTGTAGACCAGGCTAGCCTTGAACTCTTGAACTCAGAAATCCGCCCGCCTCTGCCTCCCAAGTGCTGGGATTAAAGGCATGCACCACCACCACCACCCGGCTAAGTACTGCATGATTTCTACTGAGAATGCTGGGTCACCGGCATCTTCTGTGGGGAGGGTGTGTGTGGACTTGATGATTTGAGAGTTATACTTAGAAATATGAGGCCATGGGCAAAGTGACTGGAGTTGACACAAGGCAGTGTTCAGAGCCTGAGAGCCCATATTTAACTGCGGGGCTTGAAAAATGGGTACTGGGTATGTTTTGGACTAGCTCTATATTTGGTCACTTAACAAACTTTCTTGTTGAGATTTTTGCTGCTACAATTAGAAGGTCGACAGTAAACATGCACTGTATCATTGACAATTCAATGACAGACAAAAGCACACAGAATACTGACCCTTCCTTATATATTATTATGTTACATGATGAAGCTCAAGCTCACTGTCAACTCCTGAGTCTTATTTTGCTTTTTGGTCCTCACCTCTCACCTCAATTATTCTGAAACAAGTCCTTCATATCATATCACTTCAAAGCCTCACAAGTAAATGCTCCAAATGCCGGGCACTGACTTCCTAGTCATCACCAGCTTTCTAGTTTCCTGATTTTAGAGCGGTTGTGCTTTCTCAGAGTGAGGACATGGATAAGTCTTCAGATACTCTCTGAAGAGTATTCAGCGTTTACATGAAGGAGAATAAGTTCTTTTTTTTTTTTTTTTTTATAAATAATTTATTTATTTTTGAACATGAAATGCTTTTTTATAGCATGTTTCACAAGGGGAGGGGGTAAGAGGGGCCAGATGGTGGAAAAGTACAAAATCTTCTTGGCCTGTGCCTTGAAACATGTCATGGTCTATACGGTACACTGCCTTGAATTATGATCTACCTGCTGTTCTTCAGAAGATATGGTACACTGCTTGAGTTATGGTCTCCCTGCTATTCTTAAGATGATATGGTACACTGCTTTGAGTCTATCTGCAGTTGCTAAGCAGGATCTTGCAGTTGCCAAGCTTCAGAGGACATTGTGCAGGTGGGGAAAGGTAGGGGGTGAGGGTAAGGGCGAGGGTCCTGGCTTCTGGCATCTCCCCCTTCTCTGTTTAGTTAGAGAAGGCATCTTATGATCAATCCCAACTATGTGAATTTTGAATTTGGATGTCTAATTATGGGGGGTCTTAGACAAGTTCACAACCCCAAAACACTGATGTGAGACGAGTCACATCGATGGTTGAAGGTTTTAGGCTGTCGACGATGGGCAACGTCAAGGGACTCCGATGTGGGTGAAAGGAGGGTGAGGGCCCTGTCTTAGGCCATGTAGGCTGCACCCACTCCCAGCACCACGCACTCCTTTTTGGCTGCATTGGGTGGGCCCCTGGGAAGTGGACCTACAATAATCCCGTCATTGGGCTAACTCACAGCCATCCTAGTCCCTTGTAAATGTTCAATTTACCAACCATTTGTCAGTTTGGGGTGTAATATTGTCATAAAGGAAGGCTCCCCAATGTTAGCGGCCATATCAAGGGCGGCCTTGGTTTAGGAAAAAGGAGAATAAGTTCTATGTGTTTGTCATGTCTTGCTCCTGGCAGAAGTGCTTTAGTGCTAGTTTGAGGATCAAAGCATTTCATCCCTTGGCAGCCTGAAAAAAAGTGGAAAATAGTGTTTTTCTGTATTTCAAAGGAATAGAGCAAAGAAAAAAAATGAAAGAAAAAAAAAAGTCCAACTTGTAGATTGTACTGGGCTTGGTGCCAAAGGAGTTCTCTTTTCTTTTAAACACAGGTAAATGTCCTTTATGCATAGACAATCTTTGAAAAGGAAAATTCCAGTGTCTTTTTCTGAAACACTGACTTAAAAGTAAAAGGTTTAAATAAACACTGTTGAGAAGGTATAAAAACATGAGTTTGTGCTCATGATGCATTACAAACATCAGAGAGCCAGCAGCGGCCAGCATCGCCTCAGAAAGTGGCTCTAGGAGTTCGATCTGAGGGCACTCAGGAAAGCTGTGCAGTACCTGTTTGTTACCCTGAAAGGTAAACTGAATGCTGCTAAGTGGCAGCTTCAAAGCTGCTCAATAAACAGGAAAATGCCTCTTCTTTCTTCCTTCCTCCCTCCCTCCCTCCCTCCCTCCCTCCCTCCCTCCCTCCCTCCCTCCCTCT